CTGAGCAATGCCAGACTGAACTTCCCGACCTCAAACATTGTGGGCGGGACTAAGTTCAGAATGGCACCCAGGCTATGATTTTTGGCCAATGGGAAATAGGTATTAAAGTGTCACTAAACCACAAGTGAATTTTATTTTGCTGATAATCTGTATTAATTGGGCCTTAAGGGTGCTGTCTTTATGTTTTTCTGCAAATCCTCATATTTTTGTGTAATCATGTTAATTTCTTGCCATATTTGGCCTAAAATCCTCCTAACGCTGCCCTCTGTTGGCTGAAGGATGGTTATAGCAGCTTATTGGCACACCCCGTACGTGTCTGTTCCACATTGCTTTAGGTTATAAAACTTAAACTTAAACACATCATGAATCAGTGAAATGATGGGCCATGAGTTGAGATTGCAAAATTTGATTGATTTTTTTTAGGTTGACTTTTTCTATGGATTATGTAATTATATTAATTCCTTGTTTCCTCATCCCGACTACAGTCCCGCTAAACCTTCTCCGCTCCTCCCCAGACTTAGCCGATTCTATTGTCTATTTTGCTTTGCCCATTTTGGTGGCATTTTTTTCAAATTTGTCTGGGAGCGGGGTTATGCTCTTACATGGGGTAAAGTTACATTTTTAAAAGGATGTGCTGGGAGATGGATGGAGGGACGGATGGCTGTCTGCCATATAGTTATTCCCTGTTTTGACAACAAGAGCCTCGCCATGGCTTCCCTTTTGTCCGGCCTAAGTTTATTTTGTCACCTGCTAGTCTGAGGGGAATGGGGTCAGTTCAACTGGAGCAGGGAGCTCTTTCTCTCAAACACACACACATACGTGCACGGTTCTGGACATGACACACAGACACACTCACTCACAAATGGGTCAGTGGGTCAGTGGGTGCATGAGTGGGAGTTTGTTTTTATCAAGATCAGTAAATGTGTGTCGATTGCACAGCCATATTGTGTACATTTGTCGAGCGGCAGTAGGAATTAGACGTCTGTGAACAGAAGGAATGCTTCATATTTCGCTGTATGGGAGACTTGACTGAAGCGGTGAATCCAGATGGTTAGATATATTTACACATTAGTAGTAGGTAAGCAAAATGGATTCACAAAGCTGAACAAATGTAGAGAATTATTATCTTCAACTTTACCAACACTGGACACACTCTCTTTGAATTCTTAAATTTTACTTACCTGTTTTGGGTTACAAACAGGAATTTTAAGGGGTTCTAAAAGAATTATTATTAAAAAAAAATTCTTTACGTTCTAAAGGGACAATTTATTTACATCTACTGTTGAGTTTAGCTACGTTGGTAAGGACATAAGTAGTGGTAATAAATAGCCGATAGAACTAAAAATAAGTGATGTAAACATATCCTGATCAAATTTGGCAGCAGGCAGATTGATAATCCAATCGGCATCCAGGTAAATGTTAATCAGGATAAGGTTCTTCTGAACGATGCAAGCTGCCATAATGGTGCATATGAAAGGTTTGGGGATATTTCGATTGCCGTTTTTTTGCATAAAACATCTTTAGTCCAATCATCCCTTTCATTGTTATTACTTATGTCCATATAAATGAGAATCAGAATCAGAAAGAACATCCTCTGCTGGGCCTTCTTGACGAGGGAGCTGATGGTCGACTCCCACTTGAGGTCCAGGGTGATGGTGGTGCCCAGGAAGCGGAAGGACTCCACGTTGGAGATGGGGGTAGGGCTGTCTGTGAGGGCAAGGGGGGATGGTGGGGCTGTGACCTTTCTGAAGTCCACGATCATCTCCACTGTCTTTCGGGCGTTCATTTCCAGGTTGTTGCTGCTGCACCAGGACACCAGCCGGTCCACTTCCCTCCTGTAGGCAGATTCAATGTTACAGTCAGATTATTTTTTAATTCCAACACATTTCAATCTGATCATCGAACTTTGTGCAAGGCAAACAAAGTCAAGTTGCATAGTCAAACGAAATTTTCCCACTTTCCTTGATGGACCCTTGGCTGATCCCCCAAGGTTCCTTTTTTAAAGATCAAACTTTGTACTAAAATATTCGTTGTGTCATGATTTGTTGACATTAAGATCTAAAGAGAAGCGTCATCTCCTAGTCAGACCCTGTAATTTAGTGAAAGGGTGGAGTCAGAGTAAAAAAATATGAAACGGGGTCACTGCAGTGGCTGGAAGTTGGCTGCCATTCGGCTGCCGTTTGACTGGGAAGGGCCATTTTGAATGGCTGCTACTGTTGGTGTCTAAAGATATTCACAGGTTTGCTAACCTTCTAAACAAGAGGTGCTGTATTAGATTAGCTCATTTCATGAAAAAATCCTTAAGTATAGGTAGTATTTCCTCTTAAATGTAGTTGGGTAATCTTTTATATTTGATATTTGGTTCAAGGGTTTCAATAAGTTATGAAGAATATCTGAAGTAGGTTTGTGCAAGTTCTTCCAGCTTGCTGTGGTCACCTCTGAATAAGCGGCGGCTGGAAGGACACACAAATGCTACATCCAAGGTATCTAAGAGGCAACTCTTAAAGGCATACTATTTAACATTTTTCAGTTAATTAATGTGTTCCATAACGTTTTGGATGATTAAATTAGTCATTTCAAGTCGAACAAAGGTTTTCTCGGCCGCCCTGGTGGTCTGTAGGGGAAATACTGTACTTGCAATTGCAGGAGCCCTCGGCCCGCACCCACAGGCTCAGAAGTCTTGTGCATCGCGAGAGTCGGTCTTGCTTTATGGCAAGAACTGCTATACGCCCCCAGTGAAAGGCATGCTCGTTGCTAGCGCAGTGGCGATATTTGTGCAGTTATCATGGCGGAACCAGCGAGAATTTTTAAACTCGAAAATTGGAACAAAATAGTCACTTACCGCAGTAGACATGGCGATTGGTTGCGTTCGCCTGTCTGCTAAGCTCAAAACAACCACGCCTTGCTTGACGGAGAAACCAGGAGAACAGCTGAGCATATTTACGACAGTGCACTTTTACTTTCGCCCTCTGGGGGGAGCCTCGCTGGAAAATCAACACCGGTTGCATAGTGTACCTTTAAATTCTTCAGATTTATCTTAAAATGTGAAAGAATGATTTTGAGCTGAATTTCATAGGATGTCCATCTGCAGAAAGACAGAATAAGAAATAATTTCGAAGTGGCCTTTTGAACTTTTTTTTAAATTGAGGGCCAATAGCAACCAATTATTTGAGTTTATTGCTGATGTCGTTCCCTCTTGACACGATGTCATCAGACTCTTTTAGGCTACGTTCACACCGCAGCCTGAAGTGACCCAATTCCGATTTTTTTGCCCATATGTGACCTGTATCTGATCTTTTTATGACAGTCTGAACGACACAGATCGGATTTTTTCAAATGCGACCCAGGCCACTTGGATATGTGGTCCTGAATCCGATACGTATCTGATCTTTTCAAATGCGACCTGTGTCTGTACGGCCAGGTCGCATTCATCCGACCTACACGTCATTGATACTTGACAAATATTACTAAACGTTACTAATCTGCGTCCTACTAAGCGGAGGCGGGAAAAACTAACAACCATGGCGGAAGATAACACAGAGAGCAGTCAATGGAGAGAAAGTGAGGTTGCTGACTTAATTCATATTTAGAAAGCTCGATTCAGACCAAACTCGAAGGGTCTTACCGGAACCGGGGGAGGGTCTTTCTTTTTGATCTTCTTAAAAAGATTTCGTTCGTAATGTGCCTGCTCCTGTTGGAGAAGAACTTAAAGAACGCAATATACGCTGCGGTATTGCGAGTCATGTTTACTTCCGCAAACACTGAGGACGCTTGCTACGTGTGACGTCATCGCGTCCTCGAGTGCGCATGCGGGACACTTCGGTTGGACGCATTCAGTTCACACAGTAGATCACATACAAGTCGCATATACTTGGAAGTGTGAACGGACACGCAAAAAAATCCGATTTCACAAAAAAATCGGAATTGAGCATTAAGGCCTGCAGTGTGAACGTAGCCTAAGTCTCCAGAGCCACAAACTTCTGAAACTTGAACATTGCTTATCAATGACGTTTGTACAGCAGCACCTGGACAAGTCTTTCCTCTGGAAGCAGCAAGGATGTTTAGATTTAGGCTACGTTCACACTGCAGCCTGAAGTGACCCAAATCCGATTTTTTTGCCTATATGCGACATGGATCTGATCTTTTCATTGTTGTCTGAACAACACAGATCCGAATTTTGCCAATCCGACCCAGGCCACTTGGACATGTGGTCCTAAATCCGATACGAATCTGATCTTTTCAAATGCAAGAAAAACAACAACCAAGATCGCTAGATGCGCTCCAGCACTATATACATGTTTACTGCCGTAAACACGAAGCACGCTGGCCTGTGATGTCATTGCGTCCTCTACTGCGCATGCAGGACGCTTAAGCTGTATGAATGCAGTTCACTCAGAAGATCACATACAAGTCGCATATATTTGGAAATGTGAACGGTAACGCAAAAAAATTGGATTTCACAAAAAAATCGGAATTGAGCATCAAAGGTTTGTCACTCGCAGATTTCTCAAGCTGTTCAGTTAATCATGGCAGAGTTAAACTTTCTTTTAAAAAAGAAAAACAGGTTTTATTAATGATCGTATAAACGTATAATTTTAAATACAAAAGGGGTTTGTTAGAAGCACATCTCAGCACCTTTTTTCCTTAAAGCAAGTGTGTTTACAGCTGCCTAAAGGTGGGATAAGGTTAAGGGGCCTAACTATCAGTTTGGCTCACTTGAGTTGGATTAATTGTTGGAAACAGCTGCTTCAGTTTTACTCTGCTTAGACTTGGGAATAAGTGCTGAATAGATTTCTGCCTTGGGATTATTATTACACAGTGTATGTTGTTTTTAATAACATAGTTTCCTGTAGTAAAATCTGTGAAAAATAAATAGTTTATAAGAACCAATCGAAGAAACAGATTAAGAAACTTCCATTTTTAGAATCAACAGAACAGAATTTAATGATTAATCCTGAAATTAGACTACGGTAATTGGTAAACCCGTGTTTGTTTTCCAGGCGGGTCTGATCCGTGTTTCCAATGAGGAGTATCTGATCGCTCCGCTACCTCAACACCTGGCCAGCCAGCACAACTACAGCAGCCCCGATGGTCATCACCCGCATGTGGTCTACAAGCGCTCAGCAGAGCACATCGTTCATGGACGATTCAGCAACCCAGCCAGTTCCTCTCCATCTCAGAATCCCTACCTCTACCATCAGCATCGGCCCCAGAGACACCACGACTACCAACACGGAAAGTTGCAGCGGCAACACTTCTGCGGGCGCCGCAAGCAATGTATGTAAGGGAACTTTGTATTCCTCCCATTGTCGGCTATCTAATAGATTTGTGTTGCCGTGAATGCAAGGATTGCCAGGCCTCCGCAACCTGTAGGGTTTAGCAGCTTTACAGTTTTGGTTCATCAAAATATTGAATTGCATTTGCACAGCGTCATCATTCGCCACAAATATCAATATCCAGTACAAGTTTTTCTATATTACAAAACCAGAATATTTAATATTGATATTAGTTTAAAATGATCACCTTTTTTACTAAAGGTCATGTAACATGTGGCTCTTTCTGAGTGTTATGTAGCCGGACAGGGAGTATAGAAGCACTTTGAATTGAACAGTTTGCAGATACGTGGTGTAGGCCAGTGTTTGACAGGTTTCTGTTTACATTGTTCTCAGGCATTGCTATAAAAATTACTCTTTAGATAATGAAAAGTAGATATTTTCTTAAATCTGTATATGAATGAATGAACAAACGAATGAACGAGTGAATGAATGAATTATTTAATCAAATAATCGTTCTTTTTATTTCAGAGAATCCCAAAAAAACAAATTAGTGAAATGACAACCAAATATTTAAGCCTTTTTATTGAGTTTTGATTAAATAAAACTGTACAAACCCATGTTTAATGGTGAAATAGAATTTTTTTTTTATTGTTTGTTCTTTTAGAAAGACTTGCAACGATGAATCTAAAAAGTTTGCTTTGTACGTTGTAGAACCAATTTTTTTCTACAGCTGCGTTTTGCTCTAGATTATCCAAAAGACAAGATTTCGATGCTCATTCTTTGCAAAATAGTTCAAGCTAAGTACAATAGAAGGCAGAGCGTCTTTAAACAACATTTTTTTTTTTACTGAAGAAAACCATCCCCATGCTTCCACCACCCTGTTCCAGTAACTGGTGAATGCAGTGATGTGCATAAATCATTTCTCTTAAACAAAGCCTCATCCGAATGTTAATCATAATGATTTGAGCCAATGGAAGGATATAATTATGAAATTCATGACTAATTTCCTTTTAGCGCTGTGGATCGCTGCAGTTCCTCCAGTAAATCTTCAACTTGGTTTAGCATTTTTAATAAATGTCTCCCATTTTGCTGATGCTGTTTGTTCACTTAATGCTGTTTAAAAAAGAAGAGTCCGGCTTACATTTAGGTCACGTTTGAAGGAAACTGCTGAAGGAGGTGAACACTTCATACTTTTATTTTGTAAAATGAAAGACACTTTATCTTCATGGATTAATATGGACTACTTTAGAAAAAGTATAATTTTGCATCTGTGAGTAATATTGACTTCTACGTTTTCTGCAAGTATACAAAATAAAAAAAGACATTCAGCTAAGCTACCAATTAAATAAATACAAAGCAGCTTATTTTTAAATGTAGGAGCGTCTATTATTTGGCTGAAAATATTAATAGTATTAATTGATTGAAATGGTCATCAACTAATTTGCTAAGCAAAACCGAATCATTAGATTAATGTTGCACAGACTCTAAAACATTTCCCTTTTGCTCTAAGGATAGCCTATTTACAATATCAATTAAAAATCTACAAAAATAAACATTCATAAATATAGAATATATAGAATTTTTCCTTGAAAATTTTCATTGCTTCTTCATTCATATATTTGTATAACTTAATGTGTATAAAATTATATAATTTTTCCTTTTACACCATTTGCAATCAGGGCTCGATGTTAACCATCGCCCGATCTCCCGGGACAAGTTGTTTTTATTGTTGGGAAAGTACACTTTTCATTGCATTTGCCTGCTGGGCAAGTGCTATGATCGCAAAATTTTTTTATTTATCACTCAAAATTACTTTAAAATCACCGACATTCGATAAAAACGACCCAGAAGCGTTGCCGGCGCCATTTTTGTTGTTTTATACACATTCTCGCGTGATTTGAAAAAGCTGCGGGATTTTCCGCCAGATGGCGTGAATAACTCTAACCTGTCATGTTTTTTTTAGATTTTTAACATTACAATTTATATTTTTCCAAGCACTCAACAGTTTAAAGCAAAGTTTAGTTTAAAAAGAATGTGCAGGAAGGATTTAAAAGTATGTTAACACGGTAATGTAGGCTTGAGTTCATTATCTGACGCATGCAGATACACACCAGGAACCTGGAAACCGAAAAAATACTGATTTACAAAAAACATTTAAAAAACAAACATGTTTTATTGATATATATATATACAGAAATGAGTATTAGGAACTATATTAATCAAACTGGGCAAGTAAAAATTGTTTCTGGGCAAATGAAATGTGAAAGTCACTTGCCCTTCGGGCAAGTAAATGGTAAATGCAATGTACTTATACAGCGCCTTTATTCAAGTCAGGAGACTTGACCAAAGCACTTTACACTACATTCATTCACGCACACACTGATGGTGGCAAGCTACATTGTAGCCACAGCTGCCCTGGGGCTCACTGACAGAAGCGGGGCTGCCGTACACTGGCGCCACCGTGCCCTCTGACCACCATCAGTACACAACGACAAACACAACGACACTGAAAGTCGGAGTCGGGGCTTGAAACGTCAACCCTTCGATTTCAGGGCAAACTCCTACATCCAACGCCACTGTCGCCCCAAAAATCCTTAACGTCAACCCCTGGCAATTAATTTAAAATGCAAAATCAAGTTTTTCCCATATTTCAAATATATGTTTATTGAAAAATGCACATTTTGCTAAAAGTATTTCTGTCTAGAATAATCTATTAATTTAAAAAGATAATAGATTAATGGCGAAAAAATAAAAAATCCAGTCCTTATTTGCTCTTTCATTGAACACTCTGGACGGCAGAACAATTAATACAAAGTTGTAGAAAATATATATACAGAATTTTAAGTACTTTATGTATATTTTTTCATGCCACTCGGCCCTCTGGCTCGTTTGGTTCTGCAGTGAGAAAAAAAAAGCACAGAGAGGAAATTCCCTGTCATTCCAATGCTAAAGTATTTTCCTGCAAAGAGGGTAGAGGGAGGTCAGGTATTTGACCCTCTGAGTGTGCCTCCCTCCCTGCATCTCTCACACCTCTCCTCTGTTCTGTTTCTTTAGATGCTCCTAAGCCTCCATCAGGGGACCAGTTTATATTGTCTGACGAGTTTGGTCTGCCTGAGGCGGAAGAGTCAGGACGGGCCAGGAGATCACCCATCAACTCCAACAGGGTGGGAGGTTTGAACGTGGAGACCTTGGTGGTGGCAGATAGGAAGATGCTGGAGAAGCATAGCAGGGAGAACGTGACCACCTACGTCCTCACCGTCATGAATATGGTGAGGAAGGCCGAGCAAGATGGTTTAAAAATGGAGGAGAGCTGCTGTTTAATTGGAAGAGGCACAAACTGTAGGGATCTAATTTTAGTAGGGCTGCAGATAATAATGATTTTTTTCAAATCGATTAATCTGTCGTTTATTTTGTCGATTAATCGATTAATAATCGGATAGAAACAAGTTCCTTAAAGAAGACTTTTTGCTTTAATTAAACCAACTGAAACTAAAAAATTTCCACTTGAGTTCTGGATAGAGCGTTTTGACAGACGAAACTGTTTTTTTTAAAAACCCTAAATGAAAAATTTAAGTTTTTTTTTTACAATTTTGGTATAATTGCTGCCAGGGGCGGATTTAGGAAATCTGGGGCCCTAGGCAAAGACAGGCAGGGGGCCCTCTGAACTGAGAAGACAACACATAAAACAGACCCATTCTACAGATAGAGAAATGTTAATAGAATAGATATCCATTATTTTTCCTCTCTTCTTTTCCCCTTTCTTGTTTCTTTTGTACTCGGCTGACTTTTCATGCTGTCTCTAAAGGAATGAAAGATTTTTTCCAAGCACTAAGCTCACTTAGCTGATTGCTCCTTCCTTTGTTTCCATAAAGGCCAAAGTAAATAACCCAGTCCTTCTTTTCACTGTAGACAAGCCATGATCTGCTTATCTGTTCTCCATTTTTCATTTGGATGAAATAATAGCTGCATGAATCATGACAGCAGACAAGATAGAGGAGAGCAGGAGGCGGGGTTACCAATCTACTTGCTCTGGAGAGCAGAGTTCGCTGCTTTTAGATGTTGTCTCCAAAGTCTCCAGTAGCAGAAAAAAGTCTCTAGATTTGGCGCTAGGAGCTTTTTAGAAATCAAAGTGCTAGAGGGGTCTGAAAAGTGGCTAAGTATAGCGACTAAAGCGCTAAGTTGGCAACACTGCTCTTTGCATGGTTTGTTTTCAAATGGTTTGCTGCTGTCTGATTGGACCTTTCTGAACATGTGCAGCAAATGGACTGATCCAATATGGTGGACACTGAAGGGGGGGGGGCTGAGATACAGTTAATATTATCAGCGTTCTGATGGCATTTTAGCGAAAGGATTTTTATAAAAAATGTAATTAATGTGCACAAATAAGGAATAGTTGTATTAATCATACTATTATTAAAAAGAGTTCTATGGGGGCCCCCAGGAACTTGGGGCCCTAGGCAGCTGCCTAGTATTGCCTAATGGTAAATCCCCCCCTGATTGCTGCTCTTAGTGGGTCGCTCTGTCAGCTAAAGGCACGTTTTAATGTCTCTATACTCCAGTTAAAGATTAAAAAAATTACTATATTAGTTAAAGATAACTTCAGTAATCGATTAATCATGACTAATTAATTGTTTCAGCACTAATTTTTAGGCATGTTAAAAGTATAATTTTTTGTTGGACACTTTATTGTTTCTACGAGCTTCTTTTGAACAATTCTACAGGGACCATAAATCAAATTTAGGGATGTTGGATGTAATATTTACAGCTATGAGGAAACATTTAAAAGACGTAGAAACTTAGATGCACTGATTCTTTAATGCAGTCACTAGTGAAACAAGTGGCACTTGATGTTTTTCATTGCTAGCCTCTTTGTCCATTTTTATTTGTCACCTCTTTATTTAGGGGGTCTTTAGTTTCCTGATTGCAGTCTCTCATCACTACACCTGTTTTAATCATCATTCCATGCACACATTCTTCCCTGTTCTTCCTAAACCTGACTTGTGGTGCAAGTAAAACTGTGGTGCAAGTAAAACAAAACCAATAACAACTGCAGGCCAGTATGTTGTGTTATTAAATGCTTAGATCTTTGTTTTGTTGGACACTTACATTGCAGAGTGCAGTTCAAATACTGAAAACTGTGACATACAAATGTAGTGTGAGCCAGGCTGATGGGTTGGTGGCTATTTATACTATTTCCATTCACCTCTGAAGTCAGAACTGGGAGATTCTAACCCGACTTTATCATGTTCTGTAATGATCTCAGAATATTGGAACCAGAATTCAAGGCAAGACAGGCAGTGGGATCTCTGCAGAGATGACAGAATACAGGTCAGTGACTGGATGTGGAGCTGAATACGACTTGGAGCTAAGTCACTGACCTGATTCAAAGTTCATTCCGCACGCGGAGAACACAGCAGAATCCGGGAGGGTTTATATACAGGTGGAGAAATATTGCACATTCAGCATATTGCACAGGATATTGCACAGTCAATAAATAAAAAACTATAATATAGCTGCACAGTGCTTTTTACAGGAGTTATTGTGGTTATAGTGCATTATTAGTCTGGTGGCAGCAGGAATGAATGACCTGCGGTAGCGCTCCTTCTTACAGACAGGGTGTCTAAGTCTTTGACTAAAGGAGCTGCTCAGCTCCTCTACAGTCTGGTGCAGAGTGTCACTATCCTACTGAGCCTACTGTCGCAATCTGAGACCTTTCTATGGGACTGATAGCCACTAATATGATAAACAGTAATGAGGAACTGGGTGCAGTTAGGCAGGTGAATGAAATGGGAAGTCAAGCCAGTCATCAGCGCCAAGATCATGACAATTTGCATTTCATTTTTTGCACTGAAAGAGCAAATACACTGAAATAAACTTTACTTTACTTATTGGACTGTTAAAGATATGCTTAAAATGGCCAGCAATTGCCGATATACATTGATGATATATTGTGCATCTCAAGTAATTACCTATAAGGCAGTCATACTGGAATTTGAAGTTGATCTTGTGGGGAAACCTTTGACTTTTCCGCTTGGAATTCCAACTTTGTGGTTGATTTCTGGTTGTTTTTCCAGTTTTCCAACTCAATACAAGGTTGAGTTAAAAAGGAAGAAAGGAATGAAGCGCTAATTAATTGATTTTCCCCCCAAAATTCCAAGTCACTTTGTTCTACTGTTTTAAGACTGTTTATCCTGATGTTTAGATGATTAGATTAAATTCAACTTTATTGTCATTACACAGGTACAAGGCAACGAAATGCAGTTTAGGTCTAACCAGAAGTGCAATAGCAGCAAGTGCAGGTTAAATAATGGTTCTATAAATACGGGACATTGGTTTCTACTGAATAAGTAGAAATGAAATAGAATGTCTTAGAAAACTTATTATTACAAAAGTGGTATTTGTCTAAAAACATTAGAACAACTGCCCATGATTAATGTTAATCCGAGTCAAAACTAGGTTTGGGGTACCTTCTATCTACTTGTTCCCTTTTTTAATGTCTTTGAATGAAACAGGTTAACAGAAAACTGGGAACGCTAAAACATGGAGTTTCTTTCAAGTGTTTCATTTTGTAAACATTTAAGATAAATATATAAATGATGAACTAAGTTCTAATATATTTGTAGGTTTCCAGTCTTTTCAAAGATGGCACCATTGGAACAGACATCAACATCGTTGTGGTCAGCCTGCTGCTGCTGGAACAGGACCCTGTGAGTGAACTTAAGTTGTCAAAAATCTCTTCACTTGACACCAGTCTTTTTTTTTCTCTCTTTCCTAAAATTCTTACTTTCTTCTTTTCCAGCTGGGCTTGAATATAAATCACAATGCCGACCAGTCCCTCAACAGTTTCTGCCAGTGGCAGTCGGGTCTGGTGGGAAAAGGAGGTAAACGGCACGACCACGCAGTTCTTCTCACCGGACTTGACATTTGCTCCTGGAAGAACGAGCCCTGTGACACCCTGGGTAGGATTTTCTCAGCCTAACCTATAAATAGCATATCAAAAAATAAGGATGTCTCTATTAGGGTTTTTTGGAGCTCAGTGGTTGGTCAAGTCTTTTCAGACAGACATGAAAAAATAAATTAATTAAAAATAAAGCCTTTGTGATGATATTTATTATTGTTATTTAAGGATATATTGTACTCCACTAACTACTAACGATGTTTTATAGTTAGCTGCATATAAATATGATCAAGCTTACAGTTTTATTTTATGCTTTTCTTGCTGAAATTTTACAGTGAAATGATGAGCTTAAATTATTTGTCAGCAGTGTTGGTTTCCTTGTCCTCCTCCCATTAACAGTTATAGTTCATGTCAGCCGCAGCTTGATAATATGTTAGCTTTCAGATGTCTCTACAGCTGCATGTTTTTTCTATGACTTGATGTGATTTCAGAAGAAAGTCATTTCCACATACCTTCAACATGTCTACTTATCAGATTAAAAGCACTTCCTGTGCCGTTCACCGAGACGTTCAATCTTACATACTCCCTGTGCCTGGCACTTAATGTTTTAAATATACACTCACCGGCCACTTTATTAGGTACGCCATGCTAGTAACGGGTTGGACCCCCTTTTGCCTTCAGAACTGCCTCAATTCTTCGTGGCATAGATTCAACAAGGTGCTGGAAGCATTCCTCAGGGAGTTTGGTCCATATTGACATGATGGCATCACACAGTTGCCGCAGATTTGTCGGCTGCACATCCATGATGCGAATCTCCCGTTCCACCACATCCCAAAGATGCTCTATTGGATTGAGATCTGGTGACTGTGGAGGCCATTTGAGTACAGTGAACTCATTGTCATGATCAAGAAACCAGTCTGAGATAATTCCAGCTTTATGACATGGCGCATTATCCTGCTGAAAGTAGCCATCAGAAGTTGGGTACATTGTGGTCATAAAGGGATGGACATGGTCAGCAACAATACTCAGGTAGGCTGTGGCGTTGCAACGATGCTCAATTGGTACCAAGGGGCCCAAAGAGTGCCAAGAAAATATTCCCCACACCATGACACCACCACCACCAGCCTGAACCGTTGATACAAGGCAGGATGGATCCATGCTTTCATGTTGTAGACGCCAAATTCTGACCCTACCATCCGAATGTCGCAGCAGAAATCGAGACTCATCAGACCAGGCAACGTTTTTCCAATCTTCTATTGTCCAATTTCGATGAGCTTGTGCAAATTGTAGCCTCAGTTTCCTGTTCTTAGCTGAAAGGAGTGGCACCCGGTGTGGTCTTCTGCTGCTGTAGCCCATCTGCCTCAAAGTTTGACGTACTGTGCGTTCAGAGATGCTCTTCTGCCCACCTTGGTTGTAACGGGTGGTTATTTGAGTCACTGTTGCCCTTCTATCAGCTCGAACCAGTCTGGCCATTCTCCTCTGACCTCTGGCATCAACAAGGCATTTCCGCAAACAGAACTGCCGCTCACTGGATGTTTTTTTCTTTTTCGGACCATTCTCTGTAAACCCTAGAGATGGTTGTGCGTGAAAATCCCAGTAGATCAGCAGTTTCTGAAATACTCAGACCAGCCCTTCTGGCACCAACAATCATGCCACGTTCAAAGTCACTCAAATCACCTTTCTTCCCCATACTGATGCTCGGTTTGAACTGCAGGAGATTGTCTTGACCATGTCTACATTCCTAAATGCACTGAGTTGCCGCCATGTGATTGGCTGCTTAGAAATTAAGTGTTAACGAGCAGTTGGACAGGTGTACCTAATAAAGTGGCCGGTGAGTGTACAGTACAGTTACAGAAATCATTTATTTTCTTAAAATATGTGAATTTTTCTTAGATTCAGGAGGTAAGTGCTTTAAGACTAATATTTTGTGTAAATCGTAGACGCCCCTCCCAACCACTGTTTGCTCAGGCAAGTATTCTTAGTGTTTATCAAGTGAATCAACTTCAAAAAGCTTTATTCATTTATAGCTCTATAAAAAAGTTACTTCCCCAGCACTTTTGTAATATTTTTACTTTTGATAATGAATTTCACCAGTATCCAACTTGTAGCAGTTGTCTTATCAGGCCTCCTTACTCTCATTCAACTCAAACACAGTTTAGTGTATTATACAGAGGATCAAGGATATGGAACAGTCTTCCCACATCACTGACAGATCTTTCTAAAGAACAATTTAAATGGAGAGTAAAATTGCTGCTACTAAGTTGTCTGAACTTTCCATATGGATTTTTGGTCCAAATGATATTTTAAATTGTTGTATACAAAGAAACGGTGTTGTTTTTTTTAGTTTTTTATTTATTTATTTTTTTACACAATATCATATAGATTATGGAGGACCAACTCTGCCATATTTAAAAATAAATACAGAAATAAATAAATGCTCAATAAAAGGGCATGCAGAAATGTAAAAAAAAATATATAAAGGACAAAAAAATAAATAAAATTAAATAAATATTTCAAAAGCAAATAAATAAAGACACAAATTAAAAAAATTATATACATTTATAACTGTATAATTTTATTTCTACTTACATTTATTTTTGTTGGTAATTAATAGCATGCTTATATATTTATTTGGGCATTTATTTATTTCTGTATTTATTTTTAAATATGGCAGAGTTGGTCCTCCATATTATAGATGTAAGAAATGGTGAAATATTTTTGTTTTTATGGCGACTGCCGCTCATTAAGCCCCTTGAGGGTTTTTCGGCAGTTGTCCATCACTTTTTCTTTTTTAGTGACACATTTTTCTGTTTTTATGCTTTTGTTGTGAAAATAAAATATATAAATAAATAAATAAATAAATAAATAAATAAAAATAAAAGTGAGACACTTCCAATGGAAGTTCCCATTCCTTTTGCATTAGATTTTATTTACCTACTGAAATTTAAGAGTACATTGTACTAGAGATGTCCCGATCCAGGTTTTTGCACCTCCGATCCGATACCGATATTGTTTTTGGACTTCCGATCCGATACCGATACTGGCCGATACCAGCCTATCCGAGCATGTATTTAAGTTTAAGTTAAAGTATTTAGCCTTAATTGTAAGACTCATGTTGAAAAGGGTTTTAGTACTCTTGATAACATCTAGCCAGCTAAATTAGGTGAGATTGAATAAAACACAATGCTTGGTAACAACAAACTTACCTGTTAAGAGATAAACACAAACTGGACAAAATTACGAATAGCAATCTGAAATTGCACAGTGAACAGTAAAACCGTAAACAGTTAAAGGTGCAAGTATTACTGTAAGTTTTTATAAAAATGCAAAACAGGGGAACACTGGCGCAAAATAGTGGAATGGATCGTTTTAATCGGCGAAACTGGAAAATACGGACCGGATTTTAAAAAAAAAAACTGGATCGGCAGTCTGGATCGGCATTTTCCATGCTTTGCCGATACGCATTTTTTTGCCAATATCGGCGTCCCGATCCGATCCACGTATCGGATCGGGACAAGCCTACATTGTACTTATTTCTAGATCATTTCTGCGGTGCAGGGAAGATTACTCTGCAAAACCCATCTAGAAATAAGTAAATATTTCTCAAATTGTTTTTGGCCTTGATTCGAGCAGGTAAATAAGATTATTTGCCAATGGAATGATTTTTTTTCTTCTTAAAATAACATAATTTGATAATATGCACTTAAAATAAGGCAATTTAATATTTATTTCTTATTCTAAATGTGGCAAAGTGTCTCACCTGCTCAATAAAAAAACAGTTATTTTAAGAAAAAAAATCACTTATTGACATTTACATTTTTTGCAGTGTATTGCTTCATATTTGAGCAAGAGTTTTAATTTTAAAAGAAGCTGTTTCTAGAAAAAGTGATGGATGGAAACAAAAGCAGGGACAAAGAAAGACCAAATAGTTGAGCTCGATTACTGAAAGTTAAATCCACACCAAGGAATTGTGATCTTTTTTTTCCTAGACCTGTCAGTCTGAGTCCTGCTCAGATCGTTCCCGTCCTGGAACAGGTTACAGCAAGAGCAAAAAGTAGACGGGCTGATGTCCGATCCAAAGCGCAGCCATAGCTCTTTACTGATCTACAGTCAAAGTCTGAGAGCAATCCTTAAATAAAGAGCCAGGGGCCTGAGAGGCTGCACCTGGACTCTTTGAGTAAAATTCCCCTTCCTATAGGCATAAGCAGGAATATTGTACATGTTTCGCAAATAGTTTCTGCACGCCAAACCTGTCAAAAAAGAATGTGACGTAAACAGTGAAGAGAAACGTGAGAGGTGCACAAGATTTGATTTAGTGAAAAGCTTGTTGTTCATGAACCTCATGCAACCAGCAGCTGATTTCTGATCTTTCTTTCCCTTTTCTTGACAGGTTTTGCCCCTATCAGTGGCATGTGCAGTAAGTACAGGAGCTGTACCATCAATGAGGATACAGGGCTGGGCCTGGCTTTCACCATCGCTCACGAGTCTGGACACAAGTATGGTTAAAAAATGCCATGAGAAACTCAACATCTTAACACATTGTTATTGACATTGGGAAGTCATATTTAAATGTCAAATCATTCTGGCTTAAATATGTATGTAAATGTATTCTTTATCAGATGATATTGTCCCAAAATTTAGAAAATTTCTATTTAAAAAAAAATCTTGTCTTAAAATCTGTTTTTCTTTTTTTCTTTTTTCGTTATCTTCTGCAGGCCAGTTAGTTATACGTCAGCCTGAACATCTAAGTTCGGCCAATCATATATCAACGGTCATCTGTCAATCAAATGTTTTCCGTCATAGCATCTGATTCATATGTTCCAACTAATATACGCAACGGTTGAAATCATTTCCCATTGAGTTGCGTCCCAGAGTTCACGGGGATGGACGTCTGTGTCTTCGGCAGGCGTAGAGCTAACAGAACTGGCAGCGTTGGGAGGCAAGGGCTCAAACATGTACGGCTGGAAGCCTTCTACACCAAACCAAGCTTCTGCCGCCCTGGCGTCCTCTTCCACAACATCTTCGTCCCCGCTTTCCTCCTCTAAATAAAAAATGGATGACGGAGGAGACTCATCCACGACCTCCGACACTAAACTCTCCTCCTCTTGCATGTTTCCGCTGTCCATAGCGTTCCTTGACAGTGTCGTTTCTAAGTCACCAATCTAGTGCTGCTTGGTCCCAATGGAATTTCCCATTGGGCACTAAGTTGCTAACTGGTTACCAAGATTCTTGCGACAATCCGGCTAGAATCAAACTTGCTTGCGAGCCTTCCGCCACAACAGACCCGTCCCCTTGATAATCGACCAATCACATTCACTTTATTAACTCGTGTAAAGTCGTGCACCACTCGGGAGAATTCGAAAATGCAACGGTTGGAACAGCCGTTTCCCTATGGCTTTAAGCATTTTTGTACTGTGTTTGTAGGAGGCTGATTTAAATACTCCTTAAAAAGCAAAATGTTGCCTGGAAAGACTGATAAGACTCACAAACGGCAACTGGGAGGGGCCACCAAACTCCAGGACCACATATTAGGGTCTGACTTCCTTCAATTTAGGAGTACATGCAAAAAAGACCATCCATTGGATGATAACGCCCCATTGGATGGATCATTATCAGTCTTTTTTGCAAAAGCTAATTTACGTTAGGGCAGAATCAATGCAGGAAAATGCCTTAAAGGTGTACAAACACATGGATAAAGATTCTTCCTCACTATTTCATATCAGAGATACAAAACGTATGCAGAAAAGGAAAGTCAGTTCATTTTTCTCCTTTTCCAAACTTGTTTTTGTTCAAGTTCATATTATCAATGGTTGGAAATAAATCCTTTACACTCATTATCAGCAACAAACACTAATAATCATTTTTTTTTGTAAAGTGAATATATATTTATGTCTATTTTTCAGTTTTGGGATGATCCATGATGGCGAAGGAAACCCTTGCCGTAAGACAGAGGGCAACATCATGTCTCCAACATTGGCTGGTAATAACGGAGTCTTCTCCTGGTCCACCTGCAGTCGGCAGTACCTCAGCCGCTTCCTTGGGTAGGCCCAACAGCTACAGATGCTAACTTAGCCTCACGGTTATTACTACATAATCCTCATGTTGCCGATACGTTGCTCTCCCCAGAACGGCCCAGGCATCCTGCCTCGGAGACGAACCGAAGCAGATCGGTCAGTATAAGTATCCTGAGCAGCTTCCTGGGCAGCTGTATGACGCAGACACGCAGTGCAAATGGCAGTTTGGATCAAAGGCCAAACTTTGCGGCCTCGATTTCGTCAAGGTAGGCTTGAAGCGTCTCTATTTGACTGTTTTTGCTTTATTTTGTTTTGTGTTTTTTACACCAAGGAGAAGGAAATTAATCAGTCGTTGATTTCTAGTGCACACTTATTTTTGTCAAACTCTCCTTGTCAAGTCTCTGCTATGTAGCAATGCAAACTAGCACTTATTGACGAGGATTGATAGCCATTATATTTTTTCATTTTTGTTGTTACAGCTAAAAACTTGACACACTTCTCTGACATTTTATGTATTAGCCTAATGCTAAATAGTGCATTATTGTTCAGCTAAAACACTAATATAAAGAATGTTAATGCTGAAAGAAGAACCTCCAGCGCGGACTGAACAAGCCGCTCCCCAGCATCCATGCTGTGTAAGAAAAGAGGCTCCACAGCTGGATGCTGCCACATGTGTTTCACTACGGGATGCTGTGTTCACTGTTTTCCTCCATTCATCATTTGACCCCCAGCACTTCCTCCATGTGTTTTGCTGTGTTCCCCACATAGTAGCTTTTGCTGAACTAAACTTGCTTTGGATTTTCCTTTTGTATTATTCATAAAGAACAGATTTGTGGAGCGTCCAACTGATCCAACTGATCGGTATCCTTCACACCTGAGTTAACGATCTGCGTTAGTTAGGATGATTCTACCTGCTGCCAATAGTGCTTTATTTGCCTGGCCTTGTAGACTAGATTTAGCCTCGTGAGACCATCCTGATCTCGCGAGCTTTCAAGGTTTCACTCGCAGATCAGTCTGGAGACTCTCCGTTAAAGAAAATTTGGAGCCGTTCACCAAACGAACGTCCAATCAGCGTTGGCTTTGAGGCGGGTTGAGGTGTGACGCAACGAGAAGCGCAACAGTTCAGTCTAAAGAACATGGCGGCTTCAGCTGATGAAACTAGCGTTAGCGTGGCTATCAAGCAAATTCTATCAGAATTAACAGAGTATTTCTTCACTGAAAGAAGAGCAAAACACTGCTCTGGAGGCTTTTCTCAGAGGAAAAGATGTTTTTGCTCTTCTCCCGAATGGTTTCGGCAAGAGTAGCCTGGCTTGTGGTTGTGTTTTCGTCATCGCTCTGTTAGTACGCCATATGTTTCGTTGATCTGATTGGTTTATTTGGCCCGTCTATCACCAACATAGGCCAATCAGCTAACCAGTATTTTCGCCCCTTCCCAAAATTACTTCAACGTTAGGTTTCCAGATGGATATGCGGAGTAAATCGCTGATTGGACGTTCGTTTGGCGAACGGCTCCAAATTTTCTTTAATGGAGAGTCTCCAGACTGATCTGCGAGTGAAACCTTGAAAGCTCGCGATCAGGATGGTTTCATGAGGCTAGACATTCACTCCTTTATTCCATCATATTCCTTATTGTACTTGTTATTGTTTCAGCAGTATGGACGCTTGATTCTACAGCTCAGAGCTACAGTATCCAGATCTCTGCATCTTTTGATCATATAAGGTCTTGTTATTACATCCATCACCTTTTTAGCCACACATCGCCGTAAAAATACAGAAATGTATGTGAGTACCTCTGGGAGCCACAAACATAATTCTCCACTGAAATCAAAACCCTGATGCCAACTTCAAGCTTAAAGCACAGCTGATTAAAGCAGCCCTCTATGAGCTGTAGGAAGAAAAGAAAATGTATAGAGCTGGATTAGTTCTGTTTTCATGGGGACCCGGTGTTGTGATTTTTCTATTCATGTGTCTCGTTGTTCGACACTGAGGTCCAACAGCTTCTGCTTTAATGAGAGAGAGGAACCTGTGATCCTTTGAGACCCTGTTAAAGTGCATTATTTCAGACGGTGCCCGCTCTCAAACAATCGTTGTTGGGTTGAAATAAGCCTTTGCTATATAGGTGCATCTCAAAGATGCTCATTCACATGTAAATTTAAAATACTTCCTGCATTCCTCTTGCTGGGTTGCCAGGAAATGTTCTTCACAAAACTGTACATCCAGGGATTAACTTACATGCAGCAGGTTAGTTGTTCACGTCTTAGCGCAGGTCGTCGCCTCCTTCTGCCTGCTTTAGACGTGTGTAATAGATGGTGGGTGGCAGAACACCCTCCATGCCTATTAACAGTGGATTTGGGGCACCCCTTTTCCTGTCCTTCAGTGCTTTCAGCACGTTGGCTTCGCTGTCACCCAGCCGCTTGATGTCAGTAAAGCCGGACTGCAGGAGGACAAAGAATCAAACAATCTGTCTATTTTGGTCCTTCTCTCCTCTCCAGACTGTTCCTGTCTTGCAGTCAGGCGAGCTGCCAGCATCTGTGGCCTGTCTTTCGACCCCGGCTCTTCCACTGTGCTCACTTGCTTACATTGTCTTTGTTTGTTGGGTCAGACGACACATGCAATTATGGTCCCTTTTCATTAGAAAGCTACATTGATTTGGTCTGACATCAAGGTCTTTGCTTATTGTGGGCGATGGGAGCTTGGGACTGGTTTGATGGGTTCCTTCTTCTTTCAGGGAAATAATGAGAATAAAGGGAAATTAAAGTGCACATTTCCGGACAGCTCCAACTCTTACTTTAGAAGAAGCATTTGATTTATGTCTGTTTCCTGTTTGACAGGACATCTGCAAGTCTCTGTGGTGTCACCGAGTGGGACATCAATGTGAGACCAAGTTCATGCCCGCTGCAGAGGGCACCACCTGTGGTCCAGACATGGTGAGAAAAGTCCCCTTATTTCTGTGAATGATTGTCAGGTCTAAGCACCTAAAACATCATACATACATACAGGGAAAGAAAGAAGGCACAGAGACAATTAATTTAGTTACTCGCGAGGAGAATAGGAAGGAGACTGCGGAGTTTACAATCTCCAACCCAGTCTGCAGTCTTCAGCTTTCTCCTCGTTATTTATTGAAGAAAAGGGGATGTCCCTAATTACACCAGCTGAGGTTTAACTAAAGGGAAAGGGAAACAAAAGGATCTTACTTTAAACCTCAGCACATATGTTCAAACAAAGCATGTGGTTGTTTTACAATTGAGTTGTTCCAAGAACACATGTTTAGAAGAAACATGTGATAGAGGCTGTTCAGGCCTCCTTCACAACCCGTCCGTTGCATGACCTTTATCTGGAACAATCTTAAGCAAGAGTTAATAAAAGATGAATCACACATTATACATCATAATAGTTCATTAGAACACAACCCATGAAACACAAACGGAGTATAAATAAAATATTTCTAACAATGATAATAAAAAAAAAACTCAGCTTTCACCCAGACACATTTAGAAATCAGTGATAGAAGTTGGAAATGTCTTCATTTTGTGGTGTTTGATTATAACCAGCTTTCAAACTGCTGAGAGAGAAAAGACAGGCTGTTAATAAAACTGCTTTTAACTCACAAAGGCTGCCTTAGCCCTGAAAGATCAGTCATGTTTTTTTGTTTTCATTTTTTTTTTTCTGTCAGACATTCAAACTTTCTAGAACCCCCCGATGGCAAAGGCAAAAAGGCTTTCTGTTTTTCAACAAAGCAGGGTTATTGAGCTGAAAAAAAAAAAGTTGTCTTGCTCCGCGCCATCGCTGCCGGGGTCGGATGCAGTAAGACAGTTATTTGAAATGTTTTGAAAGACCTTAAAGGTTTGAATAATAAGAAACGTTAAACAGAATAACACCAAAATGTTTCCAATGGTGTTCAGAAAAATCGGACTCCACCCCGACAATTATAAAATGTGGAACATCAGAGGAAGCTCTGTCATGATCTGGGAACTTTTTCCTTCAATGGAATAACTGATCTTCAAATATCACTTTTTTTTTCAAGAATAATAATACTCTTCTTTTGGGGATTCCTGCATATTTTCCTAATCTAAATCCTATTGGAATGGACGTTAGCTCCGGATTGAGAATACTAGAAGCAGTCACATAAAAGTTGTTTTTTTTCTTCGTTTTTTTGCCCTTTTTTGCTCTTCGGTCTAAAGTTTAGATCCAAGTCCAAAGTTTAATTTTATCCAATTAAATTATTATTTCTGATAAATAGCAGACCCATTTTTTTGGCCTCAGGTTTCAGTTTTTTATTAGTTTTTTTTTTGCACCTTAATGTTAATTTCTGATTTTTTTTAGAACTCTCAAGATTTGAATAAAGATAGTAAGTTGATATAATAGATCTGAAATAATGCTGAAATAGCAAAACATTTAAATACAGATCCATGTCTGCCTTTTATAAAACCCAGTTTAGCCAGTGAGTAAAGTACGACGGAGATTTAGGGCCAGGCTAGGGATTTTTTAAATTTTATTTTGAGAATAAAGTCGTAACATTATAAGAATAATGTTTCAATATTGTGAGAATAAAATCGTAATATTACGAGAAAAAAATTTCAATATTACCAGATTGAAGTCATCATACCACAACCCATTTCAGAAAGAAAGCTTGGAGCTCCGCCCAGTTTATGGCGGCCAACCAGCTCAACCAATCAGCAACCTGAGTCCACTTTGATGCTGGTTTGCTAAAAGATTTTCTTATTTGTCAAAGCGATGCCAAAGTATAACTTCACATGATGCTCCACATTCCTCATTTTAGGGAAGAAAGTGCTTCTTGTAGGAGTTGTCATAAGATACAACTTTCCGTAAAAGTTCAAAAAATATCCACTGGATTTGGTTTCCAAGATTTGAAGACGTTTCGCTTCCTCTCCAGGAAGCTTTTCTCAATTAAAATGTCTGGATCCGCATTGAGTTTGAGTCTTAAGACTCCATCACTGCGGATATTTTTTGAACTTTTACGGAATGACTATGACCTCGATCAGCGGTCACCAACCTTTTTACGGCTGAGGGCTACTTCATGGCTACCGAGTCATAGGAAGGGCTACCAATACTGACCTATGAACTGGAGGGATCAGTGTTCACCTACAGTAAATCTCATCCATAAAAACTCATTTTTATTTTAATTTTATTCTTTTATTCATTTCTAATTTTTTTTTTTATGTTGTCATTTTTAAACCACTGAAATATGATGAAATAGTTAACATGATGAAATAATGCATAAATGTTTAAAAGGAAGAGCAACAGAATAAAATTTTTTTTTAAATTAACCCGCTTAGTGAGTTGTTCTGTTTTCAAAAGACGAAGAGGGCCCCCCATGTGGTCCTTGAGGGCCCCTTGGTGCCCGCAGACACCGCGTTGGTGACCCCTGACCTGGATGACTGAGAATCTTCATCAGCAAAATACAACTTGTTTCTCATAATTTTAGGACATAATGTTATGACTTTATTGTCATAATTTTATTCTCGTAATTTTATGACCATTTTCGTTGCAACTTTTTTCTCGTAATGTTACGACTTTATTCTAGTTATTTAATGACTATTCTGTTTGCGACTTTATTCTCACAAGTTTACAACTTTATTCTCGAAACAGAAAAAAAAATTATCTCTAGCCTGGTCCTAACACTCCGTCGTGGTAAAGTGACAAGATGAAAAGTAAAATTGAACAGAAATGTGTTTCTTAATTCCCCTACAACCTTAAAATAAATAATTTCAGTGTGTTGCCCAATGAATGAACACTCAGTTATTTGTGTGTCTGTTCTATGAAGACATCAGCGATTTTAATGAAAAGCATCTAAAACGTGTTCAGCTCCGGAATGAAGAGGAGTTTAGAGACGATTTAGGTGCTCTGTGCATCTCATTATGGATAAACATGCAACATAAGTGTTCGGGTGCTTCCACCTTGTTTCCTGTAAGAAACAAGGAAGAGGCAGCATCAGGCTATGGGGTCGCTTTGCTCAGCATCTCTTCCACCTTGCAAGTAGAGTATCTGTGACTTTTTGTCCAGCGGAGGTTGTTGAAAGCAGACAGAAACACTGAGGTTTGCTGCTTTAATGTGAGAAAGTGTGTAAAAAGCTTTGGGAATGTGAAAAACCTTTTCACAGCTGCACATGTAAAAGCATTCAGGTTATTGTTATCGCCAAGCTAGACCCTATTTCATGTGTGGAAAGCTGATATTTTGACAGGTAGAAAGGTGGCGAAGTGTGAGAGCAGGTCTTGGCTTCGATCAGCTGGGGAGTCATGCACAATGGATGTGTGTTTTGCATGTTTTGGCAGTAGCTGTAAGGCCCGGGTGACCAGGTGTGGTTCTGGGCAGTCGTCCAATTCCTGAAATTCAGACGAGACACCCGAGCACTTTCACTAAGTTATTTCTGTCGTTTTTTTTTTTCTATTTCTTTGTTCTCTCTTTTGCTCCAGTGGTGTCGAAGGGGTCAGTGTGTGAAATACGGGGAGCATGGACCGAGGGCCGTCCACGGCCAGTGGTCGGCCTGGTCCCAGTGGTCTGACTGCTCCAGAACATGCGGAGGAGGGGTTATGTACAGGGAACGATCCTGCACCAACCCGAGGTACGTCTGCACACACATGCAGGCAGTCATGCTCGATTCCCAAGCAGTTAATCACATTCATTTCTATGCTTTGAACCAGATTGAGTTGCCAAACAGATGAGGAAATAATTAGTCCCATCGCTCAGCTGACAAGACTTGCACTTTTAGCAGAATGGTATTCTTGAAGCTCTTTTTATTCCTCACGCTTTCTTTTCTGAACACCTGAATGAGCTTTCAGCCAGGTAGCTGTCAGCATGGATATGTGCTCATATTCGCCCTCCCTCTAACCAACAAACACATGCAAACATACAGATACCGACTCTCATCTGTCAGGCTGACAGTCCAGACTGACACACTGTCTCTCAGTGAGGTTTAGACATAAAAACGTCTCCTAATAGCATGTTTCTGCTTTTCTAGGAAGCTGCCAAGTCTTTCAGTGAATGTCTACTAAAGCTGTTCACTCTTAAGTAGAAGTCCTGCTCTAAAGATGAAGATCCCAGAGCAGCGTATCTCCCTTTCAGCCAAGAGCTCCGTGCATGTTTTCTCCAGCACACAGGAGATTCTATATTAATGTCGTGTTGCACAGCAGACATGCTGCAACTTGTTTTTGGAGAAAAAGCATCAAGATTTATTGGATATTTCAGATGTTTGTTTTAGGGTCATGATTTTTGATAACTTCCTTCCTTTTTAAAATCCACAATAGTATAAAAACCTATCCGGTTGGGATGTTATCTTCCCATTAAATGGCCGTTATTAGTGGTTTTCTGTCCCATAGAATGGCTCCAGATTGCAAATTCTACCTATTAATAGGGGCAGTAGCTTGTTATCAACGAATGAATCCTAAACCTGAACCAATTTAATTTTTGCACTTGCAATTTATTAATGTATTTATGTGGTTCTTTATGTATTGCAAAAAAAAAAGTATGTATGTAGTTTTTTTTAAAAGACAGAATGAAGTCTGTATGGAGTTAAAAATGTGGAATTTGTTAAAAGTAAAGGTTAAAAACTAAAAGTAGGTAAACTGTAAATTAAAATGACGGTTATAGAGTTATAGCAGCTGTTATCACCTATAAGCTGCATTTTATCAGCTATAAGAAACCTACCAGAAGGTAGAGGAGCTGCAGTCTGAAGCCATTCTATGGGACTAATAACCACTAATAAAGGCCATTTAATGCTTGATCACATCCGAAAGGGGTGAAAAACCTTTTATGATGTAATTCACATTTTCATCATGATGTAGGTGTCACAATTTTACTAAAGTAAAATGCTGAAGACCAAAAAGGGAGACCAGGAGAAAAGGTTGAACAGGTTTTATTGAAGAGCAGAGAGAAGTGTTGCTCTGAACACTGCTCAACCGGAACTGAAAAGTGAGGGGAAGACACAGCGATTAGTTCAGGCTCAGTGGGAAATTTGATTCGTGAACTTGGAGAAGAGGATCTGGTTGCTGACTCACGTTTCTAGAAAAGTTGTTGAATCTTTGACTCCAGTCTGTATGCTGTAGTTCCCGTGTTTGTCTGATTCGGTGGAGGGCGGAACAGGGTTTACCCAGAATGCGGTTGTTTGTAGGTGAACGGAGAAGCTGACTGCCACTCAGATTTCCTGCGGTACTTGAACGGGTCGTAGTGGAGATGAATCCCTTTCTCAGTGTGAAGCTCAAACGATCTCTTGGAGAAAGTGGATCCAAACCTCCTGTAACCCCAGCTTGAAGCTTGAAGCTCTGTTGATCCTTCCAGGGAGAGAAGGTCCGGAAAATCCAGTTTGCAGGATGACTTCCTGCTGAGAGGCAAAGACAAAAACAATGTTAAAACTCAGGTAGACAAGAACTGAGCTTGACTCAGCAAAACTCAGCTTAGCTAGAGTACCCAAAACTGGCAAACACTCTGGCGTCGAGGTAGTGGCAGTTAGCAGCTTAAGAGCACTCCGTTAACGAGGAAGCCATCAGCAGGTGTGTGAGGAGGCGGACCAGAACCAGGCGCCTCCTGGTGGAGGAAGGGAGACAAACACAGACACACAGACAGGAGTCCTGACAGTAGGAAGGGTTGGGCATCTTTGGATTCCAGTGATTCCGATTCCTTGTTTGGATTCTGGTTCCTATTGATTCTCAATTCTGGATCTTTTGACAAAGTTTAGAAATTTCGAATGAGCTTAGTAAACCTCAAGTGGTCTGAACTTCTTAATGAAATGATCCTTTAAGCATCTAATTTTGTGTGAATTTTACCACAAATTGATTTTGGCTAAACATGATGTGGTTTTATTTTATTTTTTTTTAAAGGTCATCAACTTATTAATTCTCAGCTCTAGAGAAGTTTTTTTTAAGTTACATTGAGGGCAAAAAGGACTCTTTGCATTGTAAAGATTTACTGTTCCAGGGCCAAAAAGCTCATCAAACTCACCTTGATAAACTTCCTCTGCGTTTTTACCAACTGGAAACTTTTATCTCATTTGGATATTTTCCTTTTCAGTGATAATTTAACAGGATAACCTGACCCTCTTGGACTCCTCTAAAATGGTTTAGGAGCAAAAATAACTGCTGCAGGTTTCCAAAAAGTCCATTAGGACATATATATATATTTTATTTCCCAATTCTGATAAAGTGCATTAAAGATAACAGAAAAGCCCATACCTTTCTAAGCATTAGGTTTATATTGCTTGGAAAGGCATGGGCTTTCCTCTTATCTTCCTCTCCAGTCCCCTTTCTTTTCTTCATTCACTTTATCAGTGCACTCTTTACCACTGGGGCAGACAGACTGATGGGGCTGCCCTGTCCGATTCAGTCGACTCGTCTCCTAATCCCTGCAAAGGATCAAAGACGCTTTCTGAGGCTGTCTGCTTCTCATATGATACACATTATACAGCGTGACTGGCAGACCGAAAAAGGGCCACAAAGCCTTCTAAACCGCGTTAGCTGTCAAGTTCATTTATCATTCCTGCGGCGTTAAACGGATCTCTGCAGGAGAGGCCGCTGTCTGCAGCTGCTAAACTGTGAGTTTTGGGATCAGCGAGACAAGAGGGTGGACGGAAGATGGTGAGGAATAAATATGAAATCCTATGGGGCCAAGTCATGATATCATTGTTAGCTCATGTTACGTTTAAGGCCATTTTACACCAAGATAAAGCAGTCACATAAAGACATAAGACTCATCATTAGGTAATTGGTAACCTGACTCCGCCAGATGGATTTGCTCCGCATATCCATCTGGAAACCTTCCGTTGAAGTAATTTTGGGAAGGGGCGAAAATACTGGTTAGCTGATTGGCCTATGTTGGTGATAGACGGGCCAAATAAACCAATCAGATCAACGAAGCATATGACGTACTAACAGAGTGACGGCGAAAACACAACCACAAGCCAGGCTACTCTTGCCGAAACCAGTCGGGAAAAGAGCAAAAACATCTTTTCCTCTGAGAAAAGCCTCCAGAGCAGTGTTTTGCTCTTCTTTTAGTGAAGAAATACTCTGTAATTCTGATAGAATTTGCTTGATAGCCATGCTAACGCTAGTTTCATCGGCTGAAGCCGCCATGTTCTTTAGACTGAACTGTTGCGCTTCTCGTTGCGTCACACCTCAACCCGCCTCAAAGCCAACGCTGATTGGACGTTCGTTTGGTGAACGGCTCCAAATTTTCTTTAACGGAGAGTCTCCAGACTGATTAGCGAGTGAAATCTTGAAAGCTCGGGAGATCAGGATGGTCTCACGAGGCTAGGTAATTGTTCCTTCTGTCAGAAATGTTCTTATACTGGTGTCCGGGGTCATTTTTAATCATTAGAAGAAGCAAATGATTAAACTGCACCAAAAAAAAAGCAATGAACCTTTAATTCATTAGTAATCAGCAAAAATTAGGTGTCATCAGAGGAAAAGGTAAAAGACTTCCTACCCTTGAAAGTAAATCTTATCCCTTCTAGATTTAGCTTCTGTGAGATGCTTCTTGTATCATCTACCCATCTCTGTCATCAGTCTGGAGAAGTTTGATCCCATTTCCTCAGCTTTGAGATATTTGATGAATTTCTCAGAGGGAGCTAAAAACGATAAAGAAATGGGCTTCATCTCCATTCCAGGATATTTTCGCTCATGCCAGTCAGTCCTTGGGTCAACCTCATGTTCTGGGATGGGGGTCTGCTCCAGCTTTAATCATTTTAGATGGTGTCACTTTGTCCTGAAAAGCAGAATCTATGATGCCATCATCCTCAAAAACCATGGGAGCTCTAGTTCTATGCCTCTTCACTGTGAGGTCCAGCAGTGATGTATTTCATTTATGTCAAACTGCTCCTCTGTTCTGCTTTCCAGATAACGTAACTATAGGCGAATCTGTCAAAGTAACATTATTGAATCAATCCTGGTATTTGTCCAGGTTTCCTCTGGTTTGACTGGCCTTTATTTTTTTTTGTCCCAAAGCCTTTTCCACACATTTTTTACAAAACTTCAACTGGTGCTGTTTGGACAGGCCAGCATTGAGATGTAAACAGTGTCAAAAACATCCTATAGGTCCCACAGAAGCATTCAAGGAACTGAAAGGTTCTATAAAAGAAGCCCACAAAAACACTTTATTGTTACCTGATATAAAGCGATATATGCCAAGCATCCATCCTTAGTATTTTTCAATGTGAAAATAATTTTTGGACCTGGTTTTATTATTAGACATAAACTTTGCAGTATGCAATCACTATATTACTCACTCACCAATCACTTTGCCAGCTTTGGGTAGCCTCGTTTGACCATCCTGATCTCGCGAGCTTTCAAGGTTTCACTCGCTAATCAGTCTGGAAACTCTCCGTCAAAGAAAATTTGGAGCCGTTCACCAAACGAACGTCCAATCAGCGTTGGCTTTGAGGCGGGTTGAGGTGTGACGCAACGAGAAGCGCAACAGTTCAGTCTAAAGAACATAGCGGCTTCAGCCGATGAAACTAGCATTAGCGTGGCTATCGAGCAAGTTTTATTGGAATTACAGAGTATTTCTTTACTGAAAGAAGAGCAAAACACGGCTCTGGAGGCTTTTCTCAGAGGAAAATATGTTTTTGTTCTTTTC